TGTAGTCACTTTGGAAAACATATACATATACATGCAGTGTGCTTGATGGTTTTAAATTAAATTTCTTTGGTTGAATATTTCCCAAAAGATCTTTTATGACTTATTGATTATGTAAGACATATATACTACTTTATGTTGCCTTGTTAGCTGTCTTAAACAATGTCTATTTTTTACTGTTTTTAGGATACTAAATAATACCCATTTTGAATAATTATTTCATATCCAATATCATTAATAAAATTACGTTTTATTATAATCATTTGTTCTAAATCATATTATCAAAATAAAATTGACTTTTCTTTTTTAAACCTAACACTTTAATTTTTTTTTTCTTTTCACACTGTATTGGTTAAATTTGAAATTTATGACTGACCGTTAGTGATAGTAGTAGATATTCTTGTGTTGCTACTGACTTCAAAGAAACACTTTTTATATAAAGGAGCAACTTTCATGTATTTCATAGATATAGTTTTAAGAACATAATGGTACTTCCCACCATACCCTCCCTGCCTTCTTCACTTTGACCCTCCCTCTTGCTTCTTTTCTTATTTTTTTAAATTTTTTACAATGGCATACTTTTTTTTTTTTTTTTTGACAGGCAGAGTGGACAGTGAGAGAGAGAGACAGAGAGAAAGGTCTTCCTTTGCCTTTGGTTCACTCTCCAATGGCCGCCATGGCTGGTGCGCTATGGCCGGCGCACCGCGCTGATCGGATGGCAGGAGCCAGGTGCCTATCCTGGTCTCCCATTCGGGTGCAGGGCCCAAGTACTTGGGTCATCCTCCACTACAATCCCTGGCCACGGCAGAGAGCTGGCCTGGAAGAGGGGCAACCGGTCCAGAATCCGGTGCTCTGACCGGGACTAGAACCCGGTGTGCCGGCGCCGCAAGGCAGAGGATTAGCCTAGTGAGCCGTGGCGCCGGCCGGCATACTTTCAATTTACTTTACAGTCACAGCTTAACCCTACACTAAAGAAAGAATTCAACAAGCAGTAAGTAGAAAAACGCGTGGCATTGGTGGTTCACTGGTAGAATTGTTGCCTGTCAAAGCAATACTTTTAACTATTCAACATTAAGTCCATTGCTTTCTGAAAAATGTCACAAATACTCTATTTATCTATTACTTTTAAAATACTTATTTATTTATTTATTTATCTACTTGAAAGACATAGTGAGAGTGAGTCAAAGAGAGGAAAGAGAGAGAGAGAGAGACAGAGACAGAGAGACAGAGAGAGAGACAGCACTTCCATTTACTGCTTTACTCGTCTCCAATGGCCATAACAGCTGGGGCTGGGCCACGCTAAAGCTAGGAGCAAGAAACTCCATTTGGGTCTCCCATATGGGTAGCAGGAACTCAAGTTCTTGAGCCATTATCCATGGTTTTAGAGAGAGCTGGATGAGGAGTGCTTGACCATTAATAGGGAACTGGATCAGAGGTGGAATAGTCAGGACTGGAACCAGTACTCTGATATGAATGCAGGTGTCCCGGACAGTGTCTTACACCAGCTGCACCACAACATCCCCCTATATAACTATTTATATTAAAAACAGTTTTTTTGTGCTCCAATATTTTAAAGATTCTTTTCAAGATTACATGTTGTTTTCATCAAATACTTTTCTATATTTTAATGATATAATTTTAATCCTGCATTCTTTACATTGTGAATTGTATTGATATTTCTAAATATCACTGACTGTATGCAACTAATAAATCTGATCTTTTTCCATTTAAATAGTGGTTAAAATGCAAATTTTATCTTTCAAAATGAACATCCCTATCAGCTAGCTGTTAAGGTTATGCTGACCCAGCAAATTGAGTTGAGAAATGATTGTTCTTTTTCCTATGCTCAGGAAGACTTTTCATTTTTTTGGATCATTTTAAAAATAATTATTAGAAATTGAAAGTGTATTCAACACGTCCTCAGGTTTTTTTTTTAATGTTTTAAATTGCAGCTTGAATTGCCTCAATAAGTATAGGATAAATCATTTAAAAAATTTCTAACTGCATACATCCTGATAGTCCTCCAAGAATAAATGTATTCTTTCCATTATAAACTAAATTTAAAAATGCTATTTATAATATTGCTTTTAATACTGTTTTAATATCAGTAGGTTCTATATCACAGATATTAGTAATTTATACCTCCTTTGCCATGAAGATCATAGTGTCAGTTTCTATCAACAATTACTTTTACTCTTGTGAAATACTTATTGTATAATCCTTTGCTCTTTTATAATGTTTGCATCTAATTTTGCCTTTTTAATATTTTCTTTTGGGTTTCTCTCTATCAAACTGCAATTCTAAGTAATTGATTTTTCAGAAATATCTAGCATAAGCATATATACTACAAAAACCTAAATTTTCCTTTGTTGAATCTATTACATTTGATAGGATATATTGTGCTATATTTCCATTCAAACTATTTGTAAACTTTATTTATGATTTCTCCTTTTACTTAAGAAAATGTATTGCTAAAGTGCAAAATAATTTTTGAGATGGAAATGGTATATTAGTTATCTATGACTATTGCACTCCAGTTTAATTCTACTTGAAATTAAATTATTTATAATTGCTAACTTATTTGATACTTGCTTTATTTACCAAATATGATAATATAATTATTGTATGAGGAAGTATTCAGAAAGTTAATATAAAATATATATTATGAAAAACAATGCACAAAAATTTTTGAACTAAAATTAGTATCACTGTATTTTTTCCATAAACTTTTTGAAGTACTCTCATATAAGTGTAAACATTTCTTATAGTTTGCAGTTATTGAAACTAATTTTTGTTTAAATATTGAAGCTATAATCTTGGGAATAATGGAGTTAAAAGAAGATTATGATTAGTTTCAATTTCCAGAAGTTGTGTTATTGGGCAACTCAAGTCAGTGCCAGCATCCCTTCTGGGTGCTGGTTTGAGTCCCAGCTGCTCCACTTCCAAGCAGTTCTCTGTCATGGCCTGGGAAAACAGTAGAAGATGGTCCAAATCTTTGAGCCCCTGCACCCTTGTGGAGAGACCCGAAAGAAGCTCTTGGCTCTTGGCTCTTGGCTTTAGATTGGCACAGCTCTGGCTGTTGTGGCCATTTAGGGAGTGAGCCAGCAGAGGGAAGACCTCTCTCTCTCATTCTCTCTCTTTCTGCCTCAGACTCTCTGTAACTCTCTGCCTTTCAAATAAATTAAAAAAAGGGGAGAAAACATTGTAGATATTATATATAAACTACAATTAAATCAATAATTAACTTCTCAAAGGAAACAAAGAAATACAGAATATCATAGAACATAAATTTCAATGTATAGAACAAAATAGCCTATCTAGAATTACATACACAGCAAATTTATCTGGAATATAAAGGTTATATTCAGATTTCCATTATTCTGACTCACTATATATAATTATATACTAAACTAAGAACTTTTAACAGGATAAGCAGCAAATAAGTCTTAATTTACTCTTTTTAAATTGTTATGTTGTCTTGTTAAGCATTGTGGCCCTATGAGCTATAGAATAATCAGTTACTATAGGTGGTTCCTATTCCATTGCTATTAAAATGAGGTGTCTATGAGTAGCTGCCTTGAGCTATAGATTTCAAAGCACACATTTGTAATCCAAGATAGTAGAGAATACATAATAGAATTAAAAGAGAAAGAGACTTTGGTTCAAACTCCAATTTTAATTTGAATCAGATTTATTCATTTGTTAATTTATTTAAAGCAGAATTATTTAGTTTATGAAAGAAGGAACTTTCTACTTCATAAGTTTGTGGTTAAGACAAACAGATAATGTGATGATAGGCAGTATGATTATTTTAGACAATAAATATTCTATTATATGGAAAAAGGATGGGCTCTGACAGACAAAAATCTTATTTCAAATTCTGCATTTCAAATTCCTGCATTATTAATCAACTTTCACCATAGTAATACTGTATCATAAACCACCACAGAATACGTAGGGTACAAGAATAAGTATCTATTGCTTCAATTGAATTGGCTGATTCCACTAGCCTGGGATAGCTGGTCTTGGAGCCAGGCCAAGGGTTGAGCTCTGGCCTGTTCTACATGATTGGACCTTGGGTAAGCATTTTTCAAGGAAATGGCAGAAGCATGAGATATTAAGCCCAACTCTACATGTGTTTGTGCATTAGTGTCCTATTACTTATAGCGTAATTCTTAGGAAAAATGAAAGTCTAACAGGAGGAAAGAATTCTGTCAATCATAAAACTAAAGTAAAGTATACAAAGTGGGAGTTATAAAGATCTCCCCTATAGGATTCTGGAGAAAAATAAAATCATGCAATACATTGTCAGGAAGGTATTATTCATGTAATAAGTTTTCATATGTGTGTTTGACTCTTACACTAATCAAATAATAGAGAGGAATGGGTTGCATCACATGACTTTCTTTTAGATATTGACTTACCTAAAGAGTTGGAGACAACAACTTGGTATCTTTGCCATTTGATAATGAATAATGCTGACATATTCTATATTCTGAGATCAATGGTTCAAATAAGGAAATCTACTCTCTTCCAATCAGGCTCAGGTGAGATATGGTGCACCACTCTAATGGGAATCTAATAAGATAGCTCTCTTTGACTTGTATCCTTGACTTATTTAAATATTTTGTATTGTGAGCACTCTATTGTATTATAAAATACCACCAACTGGGAAAACAATGGGATCAATCAATGATTCCATTACAAATAAAAATTTATGTTTTTCTTTTTTTAACAGCCATTACTAGTAGGGAATGGGAAATATAATTCATACCAGGTTGGGCCGCATAACAAGCACTTTGATAAATGCTCAGGGAAACATAGTAGAAACTCTTAGAAGAGGTTCACATCCACTTACTGAAGGTAAATTTAGCTTAATGTACATTTTCGTGTCAATTAACTTGATAGTCTTATAAGATATTATTATACCACAGGATATGTAAAACGCACAAGCTATCTAAATGAGGATTTTTCTGACAGCTGATTGCCTTGTTTGCTTGCAGACAGTCTACATGGGCTGGTGTGAAGCACGGGAACAGGACCCACTTCAAGACCGACTATATTCACCAACGTTTCTAGCCCTGAGGGGTTCATGTCTTTACAAGTTTCTGGCACCTCCAGTAAGTGTTTGTATGCCTTTTTCCTATGTTGTTACTACACCAAGTGGAATATTATTAGTATGGTTTGAAAATAAGATAGAGAAAAAAAGTAGAAAGCAGTCCAGGTGATTCTGAATTGCCTTATCAGAAACAGGTGTTCTGAAGGCAATGGCAAACGTTAAGTGCATCAGTTAAGCCATTTGCTGGAATGCCTGAATCCTGTATAGGAGTGCCTAAGTTGGAGTCCCAGCTCTGTGCCCGCTAATGAGCATCCCAGGAGGCAACAGATGATGACTTAACTAGTTGAATCCCATTTACCCACATGACAGACTTGGGTTCAGTTCCTAGCTACTGACCTTGACGAAAACTAGCCCAGGCCTTTGTGGGCAATTAGGGAGTGAATTAGTGTATGGAAACTCCCCTCTTTCTGCCTGCCGGCCTATCTCTTGCCCTCTCGAATTATGAAAAAATAAAACATAGTGAAGACAACTCTATACAGTGAACCTGAAAAATAAAGAGATCAAATTATAATGTGAAAAATCCCATGAAAAGATGAAAGAGAATACTTAAAGAAATGTTTCACCCATCAGTCAATATAGTTTGGTAATTGAATAAAATCATTAGAATGGATGCATTAGAACTGTAACAGTGAAGTTTTGCTAGCTCTTTATAATTCTTTTTATTGATTTTTATTTTGATAAAATAGATGTACCATTTTATAACTATATCTTAAGTGTAAAATTCAGTGGTGTCATATACATTTCTGTTCTCATACATAATCACCACTGTCAATCTCTACAATATTTTATTCTCCCCAATTGAAACTACCTTTTTTGAAGTAAGATATTTTGAATATTGATTCAATATTAAGAAATGTGCTTATGAGTCTCTTGTTCTCAAAGGGACTTTTGAGAGCTCTTTTAAATTTATTTAACATTTTAATTGCTCATAGGAAATTTTCAACTTACATTTAATTTATTATTAACAAGTAATAATAAGTAAACTTCAAAATGAGAATATTCCATCAAATTAATGACCTTATTCGAACTCCTGTGGTGTTAATAAGAAATATATTCTGTTATGCAATCATTATGACAATCAAAATGTGTTGTACAGGTCTAAGTAATTTTTGATACTCTAATTATGCCATACATTCTCATTTCCAGATTTAGTACTAAACATATATGGACACCTATTATACCTATAGTCTTCTTTTTGAAAGCATATGTCTTATAGAATAGTAGACATTCAATAAATATTTATTGAATATAAATACTAAATATAAGACCAGTCACTTAAGGGTCTAATAAAGCAGAGAGGCTGGGAATTACTAAGTACAACTCGCTATTTCAAATGTCTGTGTCTATTCAAAGTTCAAAAAACTAGCAAGAAAAGGAAAAAGCATCAATATTTACCACTTTTATTATATTCTTAACCTGAATAATTTTTAATGATTGAACAAATACATGTTTCAAATATAAATAAGTAAAATGAGTTTATTGTAGTGTTGGTGTCTCTGTATTGTCACAAATCATTTTAGAATGACTTCTTAATATAAATCATGCCTTTTTAAAAATATACAGCCAGTGTTGATATCCAGTGTTTGTTTAATGGGTGATAAATCAAGGAAAATTATGTATGTATAACATAAATACTTGGTGCTATATTTGTTATAAATAATTAATCCTTCTCTGTAGAGAATATGTGCATGATTAAAATATAGAGAGATTTTAGATACATGGGGACTATTGCATGTAACATAAAATGCTTGTTGAAAGAGGAAGAGAAATGGTGATAAACTTTAAAACAAAGGATAAAATATGCATGAGATTTTATAAAAATAATTTCACAACTAAGTGATTATTAGACTATGTATGCAAGTTTTACTTATTAGGCACCATATCATACAAATGAAATAAATATGGAAACAGGGGCTAACTTTCTAAAACAAATAACATAATTTTCTCATCTTTTAAAGGTGACCACCTGGGACTGGACCCGGGCAGAGAAAACATTTTCAGTTTATGAGATTATGTGCAAGATTCTCAAGGTATGATCAATAATTAGTGATTACTTTAATGATGTTTCCTCAGGAAATAGTAGTATTAGGATCATAATTACTTTATGAAAATAAATTACCCATGGTTGTAAAATAAGCTAAAATATAAAACATTTAAAGGAATAGAGAATGCAGATGGATGCATAGACACTTACATTTCATCTTAAATAATTCACAAGTAGATGCCTCAGTTCTTCAGTGAGAAAGGGACAGGAAGATGCTCTACAATGCGAATGGATTTAAACCTCATTTGGTACCACTTATTTTTGTTAAATAAAGTACAAAATTAAGAGGTGTGGGGAAGATTTGAAATTAGAAGATGCAAACAAAATAAAGGCAAATGTAGACATTTGTTTGTTTTTGTGTGTCTTGGGATTTAACCTAATTCAGAGTATGTAAAAGAACTTACAGTTGTTGTAGATCATTTCAATTTCTATCCTATAGACAGATTTGTAGCAATATGAATCATCAAGAATTATGTATAATTCCAAATAGCTTTTTAGTCTTTTAAAATGAATTTAAGTAGATTTAATATATAAAACCTAAGTAATAAGTGATATTCAATGTTTTTTAATTTAGAGAATTTTATGATGTGTATTTAGGTATACACCATGATGTTATGAAATACACATATGGAGAGTAAAAATGTTACTATAGTGAAGCAAATTATCACATTTAATATCTTACATACAGTTACGTTTATTTCTATTCCTGTAGCAACATTGGTGAGAATCATCTTTTTTTTACAGATATATTTATTTGAAAGGCAGAGCTACAGAGAGGCAGGGGCAGATGCAAAGAGAGAGAGAGAGAGAGAGAGAGAGAGAGAGAGGTCTTCCATCCACTGGCTTACCCCTTAGATGGCCCCAGTGGCCGGAGCTGAGCGGATCCGAAGCCATCTCATTTAAAAGGGATCTCAAAAGCAGTGCATCCTATTCCCTTTAGTCCTGACTTTGTACCACAGATCTGAAAGGAGTTCATCACACATACCTGCTATTTTGTGTCTTTTGATTCAGAACTCTTCATTTCCTTTCCCCCAGTCTCCCAAAACTGCTGCTTGGCTCTATCTCTGTGTACCAATGTACGTCAGAGTTTGTGGAAAATGAAATTGGAAAATAAGTGTATTTTGTAGCAAAACAATTTTTAAATGCATGAATTTTTTTCATGATACACATTCTCCATGAACTTTTCAAAGACCCTTTGTATGCATGAGTTGCAAAACTTTTTGCACCACAATTAACTTTTAATTTCATTTTCAGACCCTTTATAAAGTAGACTCATGTATGTATCATCAGTTTTTTTTTATTCCATTATTCTGTTGATGGACGCTTAGTTTTTTTCAGATCTTGACTTACAAATATTGTACAATGAACATGACAGTGCAGATGTCTTCATCAGGTAGTGATTGGGCATATACTCAAGGTGGATTTCTGGGACATCTGGTACTTTTACTTTAACTTTGTTAGAAATCTCCATACTCTTACCCATAATGGTTGTACCAGTCTACATGGCCACCAGCTGGATAAGAATGCCTTTTCAGTACACCCTGGCTAAATATGTTCTCTTTTGCTTATTGATAAAAGTTTTCCTAACAGGAGTGAATTGATATCTCGTAGTGGTTTTAGTTGGCTTATCTGTGATATTTAAATATGATCAGGCTTTTTCATATACCTCTTGAAGATTTTTTGTGTTCTTTGGAGAAATGTCTATTAGGGTCTTTTACTCATTGTAAGTAGTCAATCTTTTGTCAATATAACAAATAACTGAGAGAAGGTAACCTATACAGAAAGGTTTGTATTTGGTCACAGTTTTGGAGATTCATGATCCAAGATGAAGTGACTTCATTAGTCTACCATCAGAAAAGGGCAGTGTATGATGGACTCATGTGAAGGGAGAATCCTGTGATGAGCCAAGAGGCAGAGTGACAGGAAGCACATTTCTCATTTTCCTCTGCGTGGTCTCTACTTACGACACAGCCATCTTTCAAACTGTATGACTTCAAGCCAATCCAATCACTTTCTAAGGCTCCCATTTCAGACTCAATAATCAGGTTAAGTTCTACTCTTAATACAATAGCATGACTTTGGGAATCAAGACCTTAACATACGGGTCTTTAGAAGCCACACAAATGATTGTTGTTTCACTACTGAGTTGAATGAATGCTTTAGAAATCTTGCTTGTTAACACCTGTATCACATATGTAATTTGCCAATATTTATTCCTAATTTAAAGCTTCCATTTAAGTTTGCTTATTATTTTCTTTGTTGTGTAAAAGTTTTATTTCATAATTTATTAATTTTTTAGTCTTATGCAGTCCTATTTATTTGTATTTGCTTTTGTGGCCAGAAATATTGGTGTGATATCCCAAAACAATCATTGTCCACACCAAGGACTAGGAGTTTTTCTTGTATGTTCTTTTCCAATTTTATAGTTTCTGGTTTTATATTTAGGTCTCATCCATTTTGTATTGATTTTTGTGTATGGTGTAAGCTCAGCGTCCAATTTCATTCTCCTGTATGTGGAAAATCATTTTTACTAACACCACTTATTGAAGAAACTATCCTTTCTTCATTATGTCTTGTTGGTTCCCTTGTCAAAAATTAGTTGGCTTTGGATGTGGGATTTACTTCTGAGCTCAATTTAATGTTTCATTGGTCTGTGTGTCTGCTTGTCTGTGTGTCTGTTTGAAGACAATAACTTAATAATGAATTTTTGAAATGAGGAATATGATGCCTCTAGCCACATTTTTCTTTGTTAAAATTATTATAGCTACTCAGTCTCTTATGATTTCATATGAATTTTATGAACATTTCCTATTTTTGTGAAGAATTTCATTGGAATTTTGCTGGGGTTTATGTTGTTGGAGATGTGTATTTCTTGAGGTGGTAAGGACATATTAGCTATGTTAATTGTTCTGATGCATGGGCATAGATGCATATGTTCATATGCATATGCCCACAAATGCATTCTTATTTATTTATAATTTTTAATTTCATCAATATTTTATCCTTTCTATTATACAGAATTTTTACTTTCCTTATTCCATTTACTCTTAAATAATTTTGTGCTATTATAAATGGGATTACTTTCTAAATTTCTTTTCAGTTAAGTCAGTATTTGTGTATAAAATAGTAATAAGTTTATGCTGATTTTCTATCCTGTAGCTTTATTGAATTCACTTATTAGTACTAAAATTTTGTGAGTATACAATATTTTTTGCATGTAGAATCATACCATCTGAAAACAGAGCTAATTTTATTTCTTCCTTTCCAATTTGAATTCCTATATTTTGTTTTTCTTGCTTGAGTGTTGCTACTTGTACTTACAGGATTATATAAAATAGTTGGGTCATACGGTAGATCTATTTTTAGCTTTTTCAGGAATTTCCACAGTGTTTTCCAAAATTGCTGTACTAATTTGATTTCCCACCAGCATCCTTTTCTCCACATCCTTACCAACATTTTCATTTTTTAACAGTAGCCATTCTAGTTGGAGTGAGATAATACCTCACTGAGGTTTTTATTTTCATTTCCCTAATGCCTAATGATACTGAACATTTTTCATGTGTTTGCTGACAATTTTTATTTCTTCTGTTGAAAAATTTCTAATCAGATTCTTTGTCTATTACTTAACTAGATGGTATATTTTGTTGCTGAATTTCTTGAGCTCTTTACCTACTCTTGACTAGTTATCCTGTATCATATACATAGCTTGCAAATATTTACCTGATTCTATTGGTTTTCTAAACACTCTATTGGTTGTTTCCTTTGCTGTGCGGGAGTTTCTTAGCTTGATATAATCTTATTTATATATTTTTTGTACTTATTGCTTGTGCTTTGGTATTCTATCCAAAAGCCTTTGTCTATGCCACTGTTTTGAAGTGATTCTCCTATGTTGTGGTCTAATATTTTCATAGTCTTGGTTCTTGCATTTAGATATTTGATCTTTTTTGAGTTGGTTTTTTACAAGATGCAAGGTGGTATTCTTGTTTCAGACTCATGAAGTGGAAATCCAATTTCCCTAACACTGTTGAAGAGACTGTCCTTCCTTCAGGGAAAGTTTTTAGAAACTTTGTCACAGAAACTTGGTTGTAGATATGTGAATTTATTTCTGGGGCTTCTATTCTGTTCCATTTGTCCATGTGTCTATTTTTACTCCAGCAACATGCTGTTCTGGTTATAATAGCCTCTGGTATGTCCTGATGTCTGGTATTGTGATGCCTCCAACTTTGCTTTTACTGTTCAAAAATGTTTTAGCTATTCAAGGTCTTTTGTTTTTCCACATGAATTTAATTTTTAATACTCATCAATCTTTAGATGTAGATTATGTTGATCTGTAAATATTTTTGGTAATGCAGACATTTTGATAATAATAATTGTTTAAATTCATGAACAATGATTTTTTTGTTTTTATGATCTTTCTAATTTTCATCAGTATTTAATAATTTTCTTTTACTCCAGTGTATTTAACTTTTTAACTATTATGAATGAGATTGCATGTGTAAATTCTTCCTCTATAAGTTCTATGTTTGTGTATAAAAATTTTACTGGTTTTGTTTGTTTTATATTCTGTAATTTTTCTGAATTCATTTATCTGTTCTAATAGTCTCGATGGAAGCTCTTGATTCCTCAATATATAGAATCACATTGTCCGCAAACATGGATAATTATATTTCCTAGTTTCTTATTCATAAACCTTTTATTTCAATCTGCTATCTGAGAGTTCAGGCTGAAATTCATAGGACTATATTGATAACAGTGAAAAGATTAAACTTTTTTGGTTTCATATCTCAGTGGAAATGTTTCTTGCTTTTACCCATCCAATATGATCTCTGCTATAGGCTTGTCATATATGACATTAATTATGTTGAAGTATGCTTCTTCTATGCACAATTTGCCCAAGTTTTTTTTTTTTTAAATTGTGAATGGATGTTGTATTTTATCAAATACTTTCTTTGCATCTGTTGAGCTGTTCAAATAATTTTATTTTCA